AATGATGCTGGTCTTTGGTCTGTCTTCTTTGCTGGGTATAGGGACGTGATTCGAGGGCTTCAATCTTTGATGACTTCCACTGATGTACATAATTTATTCCACCATAGCAACTCGAGTACTGAATGTTTCGCATGACACCCGACGAAAGCAGGTTATGGTTCAAGGTTAGTGTAGACTACTCCTTACATGGCGCCATGCCCAGGTGGTGAGGTTCGCACCGAAGCGAAGCTAGACGGTGACGTAACCACGACCAAGGTCAGCAAGGTTGGAACCTAACCTTGGAACTTCCCTGCGCCAGGATATCCAGCTTTGAATCGCCGGTAGCCGCGGTATGATGAATTTCAGCTTCGACATGTATACCCGAATGCCCATACGGAATATATCCACTCCTTCAATATACCTACTTACCTACTTTGGCTCAGCACGACCGACAGAGACATGTCGTGTTGCGACAACTGGAACCTTGTGAAGATCCCGGGTGGTGGGTGGTTTCAATGCTACCATTTCCCCACTTTCAAAGAGCGGGTGGGTGGGGGGTGGTGTACAAGTAAGGATACATCCATGGATGTAGAGCAAAACATTTACTTCTAAACCTCGACCTACTCTATATATACCCAGGTATATATATCTATGGCACTTCCCTTATGCCGCGGCAAGGGCATGGTGACGATTTTCCAGGTTCGCACGAGGATACGCGCCCATCTTACTACTTAACTCACTCCAAGACGCCTTCGACTACGCATGCATGGCATCTGCGCAGATGCTTTGAAGCCTAAAATACCCTGGTACCAGCCAGCCAAACTACGCCTGAGTAAGGTGCTCATCAACCTCAGTCTTTCCCCGTGAGTCGACAATGACAAGGAGAACGTCAGTGACGCACTGTACACCTTGCAGTTCGATGGACGGAGGGTTCCTTCGACTAAAAACAGATATTGAGGAGCAGGCAGAGGCTCTCGCAACCGGGATATCCGAATGGTTGGGCTGTAGACACCTCAAACTCGAAAAATCAGGGTACCGTGATATAGGAGTGAGGTCTTGACGTTGTCATCGACAGTGCGGTGTTAAGTCCGAGCAACCTGGAATTCAGCAGACATTCGCGTGCAAACTCGGAGTCCGCGAGTCCGCGACGTGATTGTCCGAACCCGGCGCAAAGGTTTCAAATTTTATGCTGCAATTAACTTCAGGAGGTATGTGCGTTTCGAGTCTCCGTCGTGCGTTTATCCCGGGTTTCTTAAGTTACTCGGAGTTCGCGGAACAAAGTAGGATCTGAGTCTGGGTCAAGACGTCTTGCCTGCCGGTTATAAGAGTCGGACCAGTAGTCTTCACCCGTTCCTGGCAAGCCCAGCGACAATAGAGAACTGTGCGCCTGCTCCAGCCCAAGTCAATTGTATGTCCTTGACAGCCTTGCCCGTGATGCGCTGTACAACCTTCACATCATCGTTAGAGCCGAGACCCAGCTGACCCTGATCGCCGTAGCCCGTCGCGAAGGCATTTCCAGCTTGATCAAGCAAGATAGTATGGTCCGAGTTGCATGCGACGTAGGTAACTTGTTCAATCGTCGGGATGATGGTAGGGCGCAAACATATGCGTGGCTTATCATAGTCGTCGCGTCGGATAAGCGCCGAGTCTTGCATCTGCTCAGGGGTGAAGGCAATACCAAGCTGCCCATCATCTATCCGCCCCCATACAAGGCACTGACCGTCAGCGGTAACGGCAGCAGAGTGGTGAGCACCTCCATCTACCACCAAGACTTGCTTCTGACAGAGATCACGAATCTTGGTAGGTCGTACAAGAGCAGAGTTTCCACCAGCTGTTTTGACGTCTCCCGCTTCACCGAAACTATTGGCACCCCAACCCCAGACATTATCATCCTGATCGACTGCAAATGAGTGATAACATCCAGATGCGATATACTTGGCTTTGTTACGACAGACTCGGACCTGACGTGGTATGAAAGAATCTGAATTTCGTCCATAAAGATGACGCCCGAATTGATTTTGCTCATTGCAACCCCAGGCCCAGATGTTGCCTGCAGTATCTAGAGCTAATGCATGGTTGTCACCACAGCAAATTTGGGTGACGCCTGGGAGGGTTTCGTAGAGAAAGGGTCTCATCTGTTTCTCGACCTTCTCCCCACGGTCATCGTACCTGAAACATTTCTCGCCCCGGGAGTCCTGAAAGCTCGGTATTGTTAGGACTGTGTTGCTAACCATGCGACAATAATGACTTATGATTCCGGTGGTGCCGCGCAATTCCACTGAACAAGAAACAACAATGATCTACAAGGATAGGAGAAAGATATTGACTTACGCGAAATGTACCCCACCCATAAACACGACCAGTATCGGTAAGCACAAAACTGCAATTATCACCTGCAGCGACCTGAACAAACTGGACGCCTGGGGGGAAATAGCCGGTTGAAATCTCCATAGGAGTTGCTTCAAGGGGATTCAGCTCATCATCTTCATCATCATCATCTTCATCTTCCGAAGCTGTTCCTATGTCACGCAACTTCCCATCCCACTGCGTATCCCTTCCGAGAGCGTACTCGTCGTTTACACCCCACGTGATGATCTTATTTTTTGTTGTCAATGCAATGGTGTGCATACCACCACAGGCAAGTTGAACAATGTGGAAGGCGGATGGACTATCGACGTCAAGGAGCGGATTCTTGAAAGGACGTAGAGATTCTTTCTTCTTCGGGCCAAGACCAAGCTCGCCGCTTTCGCCGCCACCAAAGATGAGGATGGTGAGCTTTTCAGAGGGCACCTTGTTGATGATAGCGGAATGAGCTTCGGTCGGCTGCTCTGGTTCGGGAGGGGGTTTCGACGTAGCCGCATCGGTCTTTATTCGTTTCGAGACGCCGGAAGATTTGGTAGCGAGCTTGAGATCAGCATTTCCTGTTGCTAAGGAACGCTTGCGCTTATTGGTCTGGGGAGGAGCCACAGATACTGCATGTTTCTGCTTTGCACTGCTCTTGGATACATTTTGGGCAGTCTTGTTGGTCTGCAGGACGGTTTTGCTTGATTGGTGATTCGATCCGTGTTCTCGATCTTCGATTTTGCGGCGCGTTCTTGAGGCTGATGCAGAAGGCATGGTTAGAGTTGTTGTTATTCTGATCTTCTGGTTTGGTAGAGGAGCAGACCTTGTGATCAATTGATGTCAAGCCATGGGGGGAGCAAAAGCGGATGAGATTCCGAAAGCAACCCCTGGAATTTGTACTCGTCGGCCCTTTGAAAACACCAGCCAACAATCTGCGGTTGGCGGTTCAATGTTGGTCCTCGATTCGATTGGTCAAGAAATGCGATCGGTGTCAACATGCCGGGGCCATAATTCCAGAATGAATCTCGGCCTCGGGAAGCTGAGCGAGACACGGACACGGACTTAGACTTAACTTTCACCGCCTACCCATTACGTCTACCTACCTAGGTACATGGAAGTGACCTCAGCTGTCTCACAGTGGACTAACTTGAGGTTATCTGCAACCTAGAATCCCCTTTACTTCCGCTAATCCTTCGAAAGTCTCGACGTCGACGTCAAGTTCTTCCCTAACATCATCCCCACGATGGCGCGGAATTTATCTGTTCTTGTCACCTTGACCGTCGCGGTCTTCGTGTTGATATCTTTGATGACTACATCATTCAAAGACAAAGTTCCGACCGTCGTAAGCCAGAACCTGCCCGCTAGCGGTCCGAGACCGCCCACGGTCGATTTCCACGCGCCACCCGCCGGTTCAAAGGAGCACGATTACGAAGAGGCCCAGGCGAATAAGGCCGCCGATGGGCCCCAGACGTTCGCTTCCATATCTGGCGATATACTGAAGGGGGGCGCGATTGCTCCCAAACTGGAGAATGCGACCATCAAGTACGTACATTCCCAGGCAGCCAGCCAGCCAGTACACACGCACACACACCTGTCGCGAATCAGCGCGGCGCATGTATAACCGGTAAACTAACATCCGATTCTGCGTCGCAGGGCCGAACTCGGTCGCGCGAGCTGGAAGTTATTCCATACCATGATGGCCCGCTTCCCCGAGAAGCCGTCGAAAGAAGATTCGCTCGCGCTCAAGACCTACATCCAACTATTCGCCCGACTCTACCCCTGCGGCGACTGTGCCCGCCATTTCCAGAAGCTCCTAGCGAAATACCCGGCCCAGACCAGCTCCCGGACGGCCGCGGCCGGCTGGGCGTGCTTCGTGCACAACCAGGTCAACGAGCGGCTTCAAAAGCCGCTCTTCGACTGCGACGGCAAGAACCTGGGCGAGTTCTACGACTGCGGCTGCGGAGAGGACGAGAAGAAAGCTGCCGAGGGGGGTCAGACGTCGGATTCCCATTCCCAGTCGGATCCAAACTTCGATGACGATATTGATGAGTTGAAGTTGGAAAAGTTAGGGTAGGTCAAACATGTTGGGCGAACCAGAACTCTTTGACGTGATAAACCTCGCTGACCATCACTTCTACTTAGTCTGGGCCATGATTATGATTAAGCTGTCTACCTAGGTCAGGCGCATCACGTCGCGTCCCTAGGAGCTTGAAGAGAGCATGGCGATCGGAGTTTTCGGCGTTGGATATGGAATAGCTGACATTGTAAATGGAGACACAGACAGACAGGATGCATACATACCTGCAGTGTACATGGATATCAATTCCCTAAAAGAAACTCGTTCTACCTACCTGTCATATTTGGATGTGTATTATAGATAGTGAAGTTTTGCGCTGGTTGGCTTCCGTTCCTGGTCATGTATCTAAATGGGTTACGGCATACTCCATTGCCCCCTATTATCTCGCGGAGCTTCGTGTTTTTACGGTTTCCATACCTAGGACACATGAAAGTAAAAAAAGGTCATTTAACTGGGCATACTTGTTCAATTTGAACGCTGGGTCGGAAAATAACAGTTTTGATGATCACCAAAAATGCTGAAGCATTTGGCTTGTGTAGCTTGTAGGGTTGAAGAAAGAATGGATACGAACATAAAGTGTAACAACACCAGATTTTCCCACGGTTGATTCGTCTAGGGGTTAGGACGTCAGATTTTGATTCTGAAAGCCTGGGTTCGATTCCCAGATCGACCTTTTTGCTGCACTTGGCCCATCCATTCATTCATGTTATATTTTACTATTGTTTTGTTCTTTTTTCCCCTACGTCTTGTCTCTTTCTTCTGCACTCTAGGGCCTTTTGGTTTTCTCTTTGTTGCAAAAGTTGCATTTGAGGGCGAGTCACAGATGGTAAAAAGCAGGCTGTTTAAATGTGGAACATTAACCTATTATCTGAGGCATAGAGTCAGGTGTAAAACTTGAATAGAATGAATCATCTACATATACACTCAGTACAACCTTCATATTATGTATCAATCCTCGCCCCCTACATTCGAATAAGATTCCATCCCGAGTCGGTTGAAATGGCATTATTTTTGTTGGTTGTTAAACGGGCATTCGAGTTCACGGTCACTGACAGCAGAGAGCACGTGACTGTCAAAAGTGATGTGGAGCCCTGTAAGGCGAGGCGTGCCCAGTGCCCGCGCGTCTGAGCTGCCTGAGCTTCGACTTTAGCTGGGGTCAAACAACGATGGAAGCTTCCTCCCTTCCAGTAGCAATCCCATAATCAGCCATCGACCAACATTACCCGCTTGACGACTTCAACATATCCCTCTTCCCCGTATCTCTCCCCGTGATACCCTGATTCGTCGCCGTAATTACCCATCGATCCTTTCCTCACCCTATAGCAAGATGGAGTTTGGTACCCGCGGCGTTTTGAATGAAGGTACATGGCATCATAGCTCCAGCAGAGCTCCATTTCGCCAGCGCGCGGCTGACTGACGCTCACTGCAGATGGCATTCATGTCGATATGGACCGCCTGAAGAAAGGCGAGGTCAAGTAAGTACAGATTGCGCTGCTTTTCCTTTGCCACGTATCGCTGACCGCAACCTAGCCTTGGTACCTCCATGTAAGCTCGGCCTTCCCTCGAGATCCCGCCCGAACAGAGTCGGGACTGATATACTGCTAGCATGGCCGTTACTTTCAAAGATGGTGTTATTCTAGGTGCGTAACTTCTTGATCTCCCGGACTCATGCACAGTAAATAGAGGACCCTGGACGGACAAGTCCATCACACCACTGTCTTCTTGAACTTTACATACTAACCTCGTTGCTGTCTCTAGGTGCCGACTCCAGAACCACCACCGGTGCCTACATCGCGAATCGAGTTACAGATAAGCTCACGAGAGTACACGATACGATCTGGTGTTGCCGATCCGGCTCTGCCGCCGACACGCAAGCTGTAGCGGATATCGTACAATACCAACTCAGTCTCTTCTCCATGCGCAACGGCAAGCCCCCCACGACCCAGACCGCCGCGGCCATCTTCCAAGAACTCTGCTACTCCAACAAGGACAGGCTGAGGTAAATGCCCCCCCAAGCCACTTGCAGCCACCGCCCACACTCCTTCCTAGCCATACATCATCGTGAGGCGAGAGGGTTACACAGAGCTAACAAGTTCTCTCTTACCTTCTTCACACAGCGCCGGTCTGATCATCGCCGGATGGGACGAGCGACACGGCGGCCAGGTCTACTCGATCCCGCTGGGCGGGTCCCTGCACAAGCAGTCGTACGCGATCGGCGGGTCGGGCTCGACGTACATCTACGGATACTGCGACGCGAACTGGAAGGAGGGCATGGACGAGGCGGAGGCGGTCGGCTTCGTCAAGGGCGCGCTCAAGGAGGCCATCAAGTGGGACGGCAGCTCGGGCGGCGTCATACGCATGGTCGTCCTGACCAAGAAGGGCGCCGATCGCCACCTGTACCTGCCCGACGAGGAGTATGAGATCCGGCACAAATAAGGTAGGGAGCCAGGGGGGCGGAAGTGGATGGGGATTGGGGATTAGGTACGCATGGGCATAGAGGGAGCTACGTGAGTGCGAGACTGAAGATAGTCCTCGTCGGCACGAAGGTGGAGAGGATAAGACAGTGAAGATATGGCTAAGGGAATGGATTCATTCCCGGGCCATCTGTAACAATACGATCCGTTTCCATCCACGATTCCGTACGCATATGTCCTTCATGTGCTTTCTCTATATGATCCCTATAGACCGCTAACCGAGTTTACTTGCTCCCTACCTATCTACCCTACATTGCCACATCGTTGTCCAGGCCGAAGTCGAGCTCTCTATCAAAACCGTGATCGACCATCTCGTCTTCGCGCTGCTGCTGCTGCTCGGACAAGTTGTCTAGGTTACCTAGATCCAGCGTACCGAAGGCAAGATTTCAATAATCCATATCAAGAATAGGTACCTACCTTAGTCGATTGACTTTATGTGACAATGTCCAAATGTTTGCTTGCTCTGCATGCATCCTTGGATCTCGCTGCTGCAGTCAGTGATAGGTACTGATGCTATCTATGATGTGCATCCTCTTTTCTTTTCTTTTCTTGGCATTCTGCAAACACATGCGGGGGAGCAATATGGCGGTGAAGCTAGCAAAAGCTGCAATTCCTTTATCTATCGGTTCTGAAGTACTAGGTAGGTATCTCATGCATGGGATTCGGATTCAAGAAGGAAGGAAGCAAAAGGAACGTGCGTGCCGTTTATAAGTGATCATGGTGGTGATATCTCGGGATGGGTGGGAATTGATTGGGCTGATGCATACCTAGGGGGTTGGTCCGCAGCGTGGGTGTAGACGATGGCGATGGCTGGATTACCGGATCCCTGGGCCTGCCTCCTTCTTCTACTAGTAGGGCAAATCGCCGCCTAATCGTACGTACAGAGATAAGACAGACAAGATTGTGAATTCGATGACTCGGGAACGGGAATCATTCAAAATCCCCCTCTCTGGACGAGAGGGCAACCGAGCGGTCGGTAATAAAACGTCAAAAAAGGATGGATAGATGACATGCGGACTGGACTAGATCCCGTCATGACGTGGATAAGAAACTCGTAGTAAAAGTCTAAAAAGTGTCACGATGGACGACGGGTTGGAAGGGTTCATGAATCGTGTACAAGTAGTAGGTCGGTCCCAGACCACCGGAGCCGGTAAGTAGAGTTTTGGTCTAGAGAGAATGCCGGGTTCACTGACTCTCTCACAGACCCCCCGGCTCCCGAGACGGGAGATGGGTTGAGGAATCTTGAGATTTACTTACATAAAGAAATAGGTAGAAAAAAAGGCATGACTTGACGACGAGAGAGAGACATTCGGGCTTGGGTTGGGTCCCGGGATCTGGAGGGGAAGCTACCTAGGTAAGTATGTTATCTGCCATCTTGTCGTAGATCGGATTTTGGGTTTCTGGTGGTGAAGACCTTGGGCAGCTCGGGATGGGGAAAAAAGGGGAAATGGGAATTATCACATGGATATCGGAGGTTCTATCCGTGTGCAAACAGAGTTGACGATCTCGAGGAGCTTCACCCACCAGCGTCGAGCGGATGGATATCCAAGTCAAGATCAGTGTAGATCTCTGACCATGTCGAGCTACTTATTATTTAATAAATGGAGGAGACAACGCGTCAAATGGACCCTGAAATGTCATGAAGTGAGGTGCTGGTGAGTTAAGCTTTACCCATTATCAACTTGAACCTAACATCAGGCCCGCCTCCTTGCACAGCCTCCGCGGGACTCTCTCTCTGCCCAGGTGCTTCCTAATCGGTGCTATTTGACCAATCAGGATGTTTTGCGCACCGGTGACTGACCACTTAGCGCTATTAGACTTAGGTAACAGGGCCCGGCAGTGACTCTTGTGAACTGGAAGAGTAGGGCCGGTGCCTGTATGCGCCAGTGAGTGCTCTCCGGCATGCTGTCTTCCAACTCCACTGTCTTTCCTACATTGCCTGCCTCCAGGCTGTCTAAGGAAAACATACTACTCCTTGAAATGACAAGTCTATCCCAAGATTCTTCGAAGAAGCTTTTTCTTCCAGATACCTATTCTCGCGCATCATTTTCGACGCGAATTACCTGTCATGGACTGGACTATGCAATAGCTGTACGCATGCTAATAATGGAACTGATGCTTCAGACGGTCCATCTCAAAACACGTGCTGAATGGAAAGAAAAGTGGGTTGATGAGAAGACTGATTCGGGATCTCGACCGATCGGCGGCTCCCCCCTTTCTCCCTTTCTGAAAGTAATAATAATAATAACCACCACCCCTCCTCCCCTTCAAACCATCTCTCCCTCAACTGGGCATTTCTGCCGCATTACGAAGTATTTCCCACACTCCCGTCCAATCCCACCCCTCTCTCCAGACAAACCCCCCCGGAGCGTCGTCATTTGTGTTCGGTCAACATTTCGCGTTTCTTATTCCTTCGTGCTTGTAGTCATCGCGATACCACCAATCCGACGACCACTTCAATCTCTATTGAAGTGAAACCAAATCAACTTCTACTAATAGTACTACTTATCCATTTTTAAGCTGTTGCTGCTGCTGCTGCTGCTGCTGTTGTTGCTACTCTACTTATTATTATTATCCTTGATACTCGTTGTAATCCTGCTCTCCTCCCTTCCGATCGAGGATCAGAATAATCTGTGGCTTCAATTGTTTTACCTATTTTCATCAGCGATCCATCTATTCGTCGACTCTACCTGCTCAGCATCAATTCTTGGCCTATCGCATCGCATTACACACAACCTTGGAACCCCTCCTATCCGCCTGCCGCGCACTGGAGGTCCATGATAATCATTGCTAGTCCAGGCATTTTATGTCATACCTCCCTCCGCAGTCCACACAATCGTCCACACAATCTGCGTCTGTCTCTCTATCGGTACTATTAGCACTCCCTGCTCCCCCCACTACGTACCAATCCCGCAATCCTCCTCCTCCTCCTCCTCTTCTCTCCATCTTGAATTATCATTATTACTACTACTATCTCCTTTTCCGATCAAGCTTGACGTATGCGCTCGAGCTGTTTCTGGGAATCCCTATCCAAATACCAGAATAACCTGAATACCTCACCTCACCTCACCTCACCTCACCCTCACCTGGAGAAAGAGAGAGACGGAGCGAGCGATAAAGAGAGAGAGGTACACCTACCTACACCTAATCTTGCGACCGCACCTACGTATCTCCCAAGTACCATAGATATCTACCCCAA